TACACTAGTAGCTGATGTGGGGTCTATTACTACACTAGTAGCTGATGTGGGGTCTATTACTACACTAGTAGCTGATGTGGGGTCTATTACTACACTAGTAGCTGATGTGGGGTCTATTACTACATAAACTGTGTTACCTTTAGCGCTGGCAAAGAGGTTTTTCGGTCCATCTGAGTCACCGTTCAGGTCTTCTACATCACTGACCATAGCTGAAGTAGGAGAATCACAGACTTGTAAACATCACTATACATAAACTTTTAGTTCTCTTACAGATAGTAAACATCACTACACATAAACTTTTAGTTCTCTTACAGATAGTAAACATCACTACACAATATAATGATATTATTGCTGTCCCAGAACACAACTACACATAAACTTGTAGATGGAGTTCTCTTACAGATAGTAAACATCACTACACAATATAATGATATTATTGCTGTCCTAGAACACAACTATACATAAACTTGTAGATGGAGTTCTCTTACAGATAGTAAACATCACTACACAATATAATGATATTATTGCTGTCCTAGAACACCACTATACATAAACTTGTAGATGGAGTTCTCTTACAGATAGTGGTATCATGATATTATTGCTGTCCTAGAACATCACTACACATAAACTTGTAGATGGAGTTCTCTTACAGATATTTGTACTTCTGCTCTCCCATGATCTAATGATTACATGACCCATTGACTCTTAATCCTTAACATACAAGCACTACCTACTACAGCACACTCATCAGACAGTCATAATCCTTAACATACAAGCACTTCCTACTACAGCCCACTCGCCATACAGTCTTAATCCTTAACATATAGGCACTTCCTACTACAGCACACGCGCCATACAGTCTTAATCCTTAACATACAAGCACTTCCTAGTACAGCACACTCGCCATACAGTCTTAATCCTTAACTTACAGGCACTTCCTACTACAGCACACTCGTCATACAGTCTAAATCCTTAACATACAAGCACTTCCTACTACAGCCCACTCGCAATACAGTCTTAATCCTTAACATACAGGCACTACCTACTACAGCACACTCGCCATACAGTCTAAATCCTTAACATACAAGCACTTCCTACTACAGCCCACTCGCCATACAGTCTTAATCCTTAACATACAAGCACTTCCTACTACAGCACACTCGCCATACAGTCTTAATCCTTACCATACAGGCACTTCCTACTACAGCACACTCGTCATACAGTCTTAATCCTTAACATACAAGCACTTCCTACTACAGCACACTCATCAGACAGTCTTAATCCTTAACATACAGGCACTTCCTACTACAGCACACTCGCCATACAGTCTTAATCCTTAACATACAAGCACTTCCTACTACACCATCTCGTCAGACAGACTTAATCCTTAACATACAAGCACTTCCTACTACAGCACACTCGTCAGACAGACTTAATCCTTAACATACAGGCACTTCCTACTACAGCACACTCGCCATACAGTCTTAATCCTTAACATACAGGCACTTTCTACTACAGCACACTCGTCAGACAGACTTAATCCTTAACATACAGGCACTTCCTACTACAGCACACTCGCCAGACAGTCTTAATCCTTAACATGCAGGCACTTTCTACTACAGCACACTCGTCATACAGACTTAATCCTTAACATACAGTCACTTCCTACTACAGCACATTCGCCATACAGTCTGAATCCTTAACATACAGGCACTTTCTACTACAACACACTCGTCAGACAGACTTAATCCTTATCATACAGGCACTTCCTACTACAGCACACTCTTCAGACAGTCTTAATCCTTAACATACAAGCACTTCCTACTACAGCAGACTCGTCAGACAGTCTTAATCCTTAACATACAGACACTTCCTACTACAGCACACTCGCCATACTGTCTTAATCCTTAACATACAGGCTCTTCCTACTACAGCACATTCGCCATACAGGCTTAATCCTTAACATACAGGCACTTCCTACTACAGCACACTCGTCATACAGTCTTAATCCTTAACATACAGGCACTTCCTACTAAAGCACACTCATCATACAGACTTAATCCTTAACATACAAGCACTTCCTACTACAGCACCCTCGTCATACAGACTTAATCCTTAACATACAAGCGCTTCCTACTACAGCACACTGGTCATACAGATTAATCCTTAACATACAAGCACTTCCTACTACAGCACACTCGTCATACAGACTTGGCCTTCTAACCACTCTCTCATTAGCTTAGGCTTTTGCTTCTTTTTATCTCAAAACAAAGTTTCCACCATAAACATGTGTCTATAGACTGGAGATTAAAGACAGTAGGTGTTGATAGAATGGGAATAGTTTTTTTTACCAGAGTCCATGTCTGAGGCAGTGTCGTCAATCTGCTGACCCATGTAGGCGTCATACTCCACCAGTACACCTAACACCCTGTAGATACGGAGGGTTATATTTCAATTTTGTTTTCAAGGAGACACACATTCCATAGTATAGTGCATTTTTAGTATACTTCTTGATATAAATTTGCTAATTAAAAAGTTATTTTCACAGACAGTACCATACTCTAGGGTGTCTTGCAGGCTGTATCTGGTGTAAGGAAAGGTATGTGGTTTTGTTTTGGTTTTATTTTGTTTAACGTCCTATCAACAGCTTAGGTCATATAAGGGATATGGTACACTCACTTAAAAATAGTAAGTGGACAGAAATGCTCCTCCCCAAAGTGGTCCAACATTTCCACCCTGACAAACTTGATATAGTCGTTGAAGTCGTCCGGTACAGTA